TGTTTAGCCAAATGTGTACAATCCAAATAATGACTGTGTTCTTCCCACTAACCTGAGAAAGACATAATCAAGTGGCCCTCTAGATTCAAACTGATTGAACTGTGGGAGTCCCAGGTTCACAAATTATTACATAAGTCACTTTGGACAGGTTTTAAAATTTCTGTATACCTCAGTTTCTTTATCTATAAAATGGGGGTAATCATCACACTTGCCACACTGGATTGCAGTAAGTATTAAAAATGAGAATATTTGTAAAACACTTAGAAAAGTTCTTGGAACGTAATAATCAGACCATCATTATTATCATCATCTTTAGATGGGATACAATTTGTACTGGAAACCCTCAACTGCTCTGGATGGCAGCAAAATGGTAATAATAAAAGCATAGTTATATAACATGGAAATGTAGGATAAACAGGCTACTTACCAAAGAAGGAAGGCATTTGTGATAGAGGCTGCCTAAACGCTTTCAATTTCCCTATTCAGGTTATACAGGACGACTGTATTTTTCATCATTCCCACAGATCCATTAGTCTATGTCACTGGTTTCCAGCCAAAGATATCAGGGTAGAAGTGATTCATAACACTTCCAAATATAAACCATATATCTCTATGATTACCCTCTCCTACTCTTTCTCTTCTCTGATAAACTCAAAAGCCATATTTATAATATAATAGCAGCATGAAAACTTTCCATTTTTTTTTGGTTGTGGTTGGAGTGTCAAATTATCTGTATCCGACTGACTGGTGAGCAAAAGCAAACCTTTATCATGTTAAGTCTGAAATGTCTGAGTTTATTTATTAAAGCTCCCATCCTTGACTTTCTATACTGATTATCAGTAAAGAGTTCCATTACCTCTTGGCCCTAAACGCATTCTTCTATATTCTGCCTCAAGATGCTGAAGCTGGGAGCTTTCAAATCAGATTTCTTCTTTCCCACTAACCTTTTGGTTAGGTTCTGCCAATGGTAGTCCAAAGGGCAACTAGGGGTCAGGAGGAGAAAGAAAGGACTCATTGGTGTTTATCCTGTTTGTCAGTGTCATTCCCGGAATGCTTCTTTAGGTCAGCAATTGACATTGCGTCCAGGTCCTAAGTTTATTTTATACTTGCTGAACTATCTTTATTGCACCACCACCACCCCAAATGTATAAAAATAGAGAAGTGCATCCCCTGTGGGGGTCTGGGCCCTAGTTCTATAGGATCCCACCTCTGAACCCCTGGGGTACCTGTATCTGCTGAGAAGCATTTCTCCTCAGAGATCTGACTCACAGTTTTGAGGGGCCTGTCTACTGGCCTTCCAGGTTCTACAACTCCAGCCTCCTCCCTTTGTTACTCTTCTGTATGAGTGGTTGTTCTTCAGATATTAAACTTGTGAAGCATTTTGACATTTTAGCTTTCCAATACCAGATTAAATACTTTTGCATATTATATTCTCTTTGTTAAAATTGCTGGTTTGGTTTTTGTTTTCCTGACTGTACTCCAATTTTTATACTATTAAAACACAGAAATTTGAAGCCAAAGCCTGTGCCACCATAGAAAAAATTTAAAATATATAGCATTTCATTAATTGTTGGGCAGTGGGCAGAAAGGAAACTGATTTCAAAGATAGAAAGCCATCAAGTTGCATAATGTTTTGTCAAAACTCTTGGCGAAAAGTGCTGCCTGAGTTAACTAGAGTGGCAGGCAGTGAGTCTGCTGGACAGGCAGTACACAAGAGATTGGGAAACAAAACTTTAACAGTGTTTCTTGACTATTACTGGCTACATTTGGCAGGATATTACAAGAGATACATGAGCAACTAGTGTGAAGGCAGATACATAGAGAAATAGAATACAAAAGTTTCCAGGACTTATTGGGCAAAATGGCTGGCTTCTTCTAAAGCCCAAATGGTAAACATAACATTGATGAAGGTAGTGAACAACCAAGGCCCAGTGAAGAGTTCCATTTGTGTAACGGACTAAGGCAAACCCTACTATGATCTCAGGGAACTGTAGTACTAAAATCCCATAATTCCAAAAATATAACACTTACATGTTTAAAACTTAAAAGAACTCTAGGACCCATAATCTTCCCCAAACAGGTAAAAATTTAATGTAGCTCTCAATAGGCATTACAAACTTAGGTAAGTAGAATAAAAGAAAAAGAGAAACATCTAAGAAGTCATATCCAGAGGCTAGAGACATCTGTGGACAAGGAAGATAACCCAGGGAGTTGGTTAGAGCCTATTCAAAGATCCTCCCTGACCTCTAGATTGGGAGACTTTATAATATCTTTCCAACAGGATGGTGTCTGTGATTGACATGTGTAACTGATTCTTTCTTTATCCAAGCATCACAGTTTATTGTGGTTTCCCTTTTCCTATGCTTTCTCTTTTAAGTTAAGTTTAAGTATGGGAAGTGGTTTGCAAATGCAGGTAATTAGGTCATAGGTGATTCATTGCCATCATTTGCTGAGGACAATGGCTAACCAGAGAGCATGGATTTGTGCTGAAATTAGTGACTGAAAGAATTTTGAGGTGTCACTTGTGAAGAGTAATAATCTCTTTTCAGGAGATAATGGAACATGACATAAATATCTGGTGAGCAGTAAGATGGACTGTGGCAGAGATGGACTAGATGCTCACTAATTCCATCCCCTTTTCCTGGCCATAGAGAAAGGCAGTATTTGCCAGCTTCCCTTGCAGTTCAGTTGGGCCCGCAATGGAAGGATGTCCATGCACTCAAGTCTGCTCCATAACAGCCTATGTTCGATGTTCCACACAGTCTCTTTTACTCCCTCCGTGACCATGTACTTATAAAGGCAATATCAAAAGATGGAAGGAGTCTACAACTTTAAATCATGATTTGGCAGTGAACCTCAAAGGAAAGTTGGCCAACACACATCAGGCCATGACACGGGGAAGAATCCTCTTATTTTCTATGTTAAGAAGCTGAGATTTGAGGGGGTTGTATGTTAAAGTGTCTGGAGGTTATCCTGTAATATAGCATTCGATTTAATTACTGGATTAAATTCCACTGGTAACTTGATATCTTTTTTGTTATATTAAAATTATTTGAATCTGAAGAAAATGTCATCAAGAAATTGAGATTATGAAGTGTAGTGGAAAGAGCTGTGTTTTGAGAAGTTCCATTCCTTGTAACCCCTTTACTAGATTATTATCTAGTAAATAATAATTACTAGATAATCGGCACTGGGAAAGTCAAAGAATTTCCCTGGGCTACAGTGCACATCTGTAAAATGAAGCTGTTATTAGGTTTATTATTAGGTTACCCAATTATAGGCAGAAAGCCAGGCCAGAAATTTGTTCAAGGTTTTTATGGTTTTTGATCTATGATTCCTTGAAATAGGAGTTAGCTCTAAAGCACAGGAGTATTATGTTTTTTTTTTTACTTAAAATGTTTGGTTATCATATGATACCTGACAAAGAACAGCTGTATGCATACATATTATGTAATAGAATGTTTTAGTAGTATTAACTCATGCCCTGCAGTTTTATGCTATCCAAATATGACATATTAGTCATTTTAGAGACAAGACAACACAGATGACAATTTCAAAAGGAAACTATTCCCTAAAACTTTGAATATCCAGTAGTTTTACACACATCTCCCCACATCTCCAGCCTTCCCCTAACAATCTAAGGATGGGATTTTAGCAATATCCTCACTTCTCTTTCTATGTTTTATCAAGTGAAATTCTATTCTTTCAGATGGTTTCTCTTACTATCAACTCACTAAGGTTAATTCAAGGTCATTATTTCTACATAACTGTTAAGGTCTGAATATGTGTGTCTTTCCAAAATTCATGTCAAAATCCTAACCTCCATGGTGATGGTATAAGGAGTTGGTGCCTTTGGGAGGTGACTAGGTCATAAGAGTGGGGCCCTCATAAATGGTATTAGTGCCATTATAGAAGAAGTCTGAAGAAGCCTGTGTGTTCCATCCACCATGTAGAGACACAGTGAGAAGGCACTATCTATGAATCAGAAAAGCGGGCTCTCACCAGACACCAAAACAGCCAGCACCTCGATCTTGAACTTTCCAGGCATTAGAACTGTGAGAAATAAATTTCTGTTGTTCATAAGTTACCAGTTTGTGGTATTTTGTAATAGCAGCACAAGCATACTAAGACAGTCAAATAATAAAAATTATAAAATAAAACAAAATATAAAGCAAAAAAACTCACAAAAAACTAAATGATTCTTTGTTCATATTTAACTATATGTTCAACTGCTAATAAATCAGGCTAATCAAAACACTTTCATTCTTATAAAAAGGTAAAACAGTAATTAAAATATATCTAATATTAATTTAAGACCTGGAGAACAAATGGAATTTTCCTCCTTAAAATTAAAATGAAGAATGTTGCAGCCAAATCTAAACAAAGAACATTTAAAACTCATTTTGCTAATGCTTACTTTTTCCTAATCCCTGGAAAATAATGGCTAAAGCCAAGCATTTAAACTTAAAGCAGAAAATAAAACATGAAGGAGAACACTCTTGAATTGGTCTTCAAATTATTTTTGCAATTGTGTAATTCACAATTTGTTGTAAAAATAATAATTTTTAATTCTATTACTGAGACATTTTTAGAAAAAACATAGAAAAATACAGAAGGTAGGATTCTGATTTTTTAAAATCATCTTTAGATGACTCCATACTTACTTTTCTCCTACTGATTCTACTATACAGTATAGAATCCAAGAACATGAACTTTAATTTATATAATTTTTAAGGTCACTAACATAATAAAAGGATGATGTCCAAACTAATAAAAAGAAAAACAGTTGTTTAATTGGAATTAAACTCTAATATTATATGTCACTAAGGTATTTATATTAGTTTGCTAACTACCCAAACCTATATGAACATATTATATAACACAAATGCAAATACTGTTGTAAACAAGGATAACATTTGTTTATAAGTCATCCTCTTCACATTTCTTTAGCATTCTACTTACATACAAGCCAATTTGAGGTAAAATAACTTTCCACTCACCAACGTGGAGGTTTGTGAGGCGTCAGCCAAATCCCCTGAGATCTGGGGTGTTCGCGTGTTGTTTGGAATTCTGTGAGGGTTACAGGCTATCGCTTCACACCAGCCCAGCATTTTCTCCTTCCTCTTATCCCTTTTCAATTTCTGAAATTCTGAAAATAATTTACATTCCCTGAAACAGGTCACTTATTTTAGCTGTGTTTTGGAAAATATATATAATCAAAATTAAATCAACAATATAACAAAATACTAATGGAGACTTCTTTTTTAACCAGGGGTTACAAGGAGGAAAAGAAGAATATGCCAATTATTAATAATAGCCTAAAGTCACAGGACAATAGAAAGAGTGTACATCTCTTCAAAGAACCTAATATCTTTTATACCTCTCTGTGACATTATTGTTGATAATGGGAATTCCTTGTGCCAGGTTCTAAGTGTTATTTTCAGGGATCAACTTTTAACAGTAAGTCCTTACCTTGAGAAATAAGAACAGACCCAGGTCCTGATAATATCTACATATTTCAATGACATCTAAAAACTTGGCATAGCTTTTCAGCTAAATGTCCTACAGAAGCAGAATAAATTGAATACAGGTCAGTGATAAATATTACTCATTCTGGCAGAGCCATGATTTTTCTCTCTCATAAAGTTCTGCCATCTAAAATTTTTTTTTTTTCTTGGAAATCGAGTCTCTTTTTGTCGCCTGAGCTGGAGTGCAAAGGTGTGATCTTGGCTCACTGAAACCTCTGCCTCCCAGGTTCGGGCGATTCTCCTCCCTCAGCCTTTTGAGTAGCTGGGATTACAGGCACATGCCAATATGCCTAGCTAATTTTTTGTAGTTTTAGTAAAGATGGGGTTTCATCATGTTAGCCAGGATGGTCTCGATCTCCTGACCTAGTGATCTGCCTGCCTCAGCCTCCCAAAATTCTGGGATTATGGGCATGAGCCACTGTGCCTGGTTGAAAAAAAAATTTTATTGCAAGTATAATAAATTTAGTGTGTGACATCTATCACCAGTTTAATCTATTCAAAATTAATAATTAGAAAATCCTTACTATGTCACAAATAGAAATATTCCACAATTCTTTCTAGATTTCTAGAACTTCTTATTTGGGGGAATGTTTTGTCTCTGAAAAAGTCATATCAACAATGACTTTTAACATAATGGGGAAACATTGTTTCCCTTGTAAAGTTTTACAGCCTACTTTTCTACTCCACCACCCTCCGTAATTAGAAATAGTTTATTGCAGGTCTTTAGTTAAATGCATTACACTGTCAATTAAATATCAAAAATAATGTGGAGTAATTATTTTTCACAGCATCCAAAGCAATTAGCAATCTGGTGGTTTATAACATTTAAGAGAATCAAAATTGCACATTTCATAGCACTAAGAAAAGAAACATAAAGAACAGTTGCACTAACAGATTGATGAATTATTACTCTAAATGAAAAAATACTCAAGTTAAATACATCTAAACAATGTAAATACATCTAAACAATGAAAATGACAAAAAGATCTTTTGCAAAAAATGTCTAAGATACCCAACAGAATGGATTTCTTAATAAGACCAGCAATGTAATGTGAGTGACTCATTCAATTGAGGTAGAGAGAAATAAGGGGAACTTGGAAACAATTGTTTGAATGGGCAACAAATTATTAGTGCTTGGCCTTTCAAACACATTGCTTGAGATTTATGTAAAACTGTGATCTATTCAATACAAAATCTGCATATCTAATTTGCACTCTACAGAAAGTAAATATTTCCTTATTCCCATTAACATTATCTTGGTTACTCATCAGCTTTTAACTGCATTTCTTGAAGTGCGCTAACAGTAAATGAAAATGAGGATCCTTATTCAAAGGCAAGAATAAAATGATACATAATGATGTAAACAGTTTGATCAAGTATAAAAAAAGGTTCTACTTCTAAATCATTTACCATTTTTTTTTCAATTTTAACTCTATAATTACTTATAATCACTATAGTACTTATAATAAATTGCTAAATTCATTCATGAATCAAGAACATAATCATGTGGCCCACAAAATTATGACATCAGAAGTATCCATCCTGAGATGTGTTTGTAAAGGTAGCCAACTTCTTATTTCCCATTCAGATTCTTTTTGATGCTGTGGTAGTAGTAGCTTTGTCACTCCTAATTCAGTCAACATTAATCCATACATATTTATGAAGCCCCTACTATACTGTAGGTACTGAAGTAGGAATAGTAGTCAAGAGAGGATAACTTTCATTTTTTATGTGATTGGGATCCAGTGCAGCGATCTATTCTAGAGAATTTTAAAGTCCATGAACACTAGGATCTTTCTGATCTCTAAATTTTAGATTTGTACGCTTACTTGCCTGCTGCTCCTGATCGTGTCTTCCTTGAAGCTTGCCTGTGCAAATCATCTTTTAGAACTGTTTTGCTGGACTGCTGTCAACAAATCATCATGACAAAAGCTATAAACTTTTGGCTACACCTGCTGAAGTATTATAATAAAATGTCAACTTCATTCTAGTTTTCTATTGCATACAACTGTCATTATCTTATTTCAAGATTATTAGCTGGGCTAAATAATTCAGAAAGTTAAAACACACATGTTTAATATAAATAATATGTTAATAATCATTAAATACTATCCATGGACATTGTACAGGCTATTATAAGAGAGCAGAGAAGAAACAAGATACATTGCTATAGACTGGAAAGTTTATAATATATTTTGAACATATATGAATGTTTATACAGACAGTTAAGTATGTGAGATGAGACAAAGCAATATAACTACACAGCTTCCCTTCAGCTTTTTATTAGATTAATGTAGAATATATGAAAACTATAAAAATGTCTGTGATGGTTGCATTTCTATATCTGGACATTCATTTCATGTCTAAGAGGTAAATTGCATTTAATGACTTACTCTAAATAATACACATCTTCTGAGTTGTCAGCTACCTTAGAATCATAGCATCATCTCTTGGAGAAGTCAGTCTCAAAAGGGGCCAAGCATTTTGATTCATGCCTGTAATCCCATCATTTTGGGAGGCTGAGGTGGGTGGATCACTTGAGGTCAGGAGTTCGAGACCAGCCTGGCCAACATGGTGTAACCCCGTGTCTACTAAAAATACAGAAAATTAGTCAGGCATAGGGGCGTGCACCTGTAGTCTCAGCTACTACTCAGGAGGCTGGGGCAGGAGAATTACTTAAACCTAGGAGGCGAAGGTCACAGTGAGCTGAGATCTTGCCACTGCACTCCAGCTTGGGCAACAAGCAAGACTCTGTTTCAATAAATAAATAAAGAGCCTCAAAGAAGCAACATGAGTATAGGTACAAATCAGAAGGGAGAGAGAGAGCAGCAAACAAGGAGAGACCATTGCCTTACCCCTTAAATCTCTGTTGGGAAGGGGCTGTTATAATTGCCCAATGACAATATCTTCTTTTCTGTTATCACAAAACACTTCAAATTTTGATCACATTTCAAAAATATTTTCTTCTTTGCATCATTGATGCTAAAATATAGATTTTAAAAATAGTTTAGGTGAGTTGAGAGAACTGAAGAATTGAAATGTTGATTGCTAAGCCTCTGTAGACCAGCCTTTTTCATACACAGGTCGGGAGTACTCATCATATTTTTAGGTGTAAGAATGTGCTGTCAGCCAGAAGGGTAGGCAAATTATAAGCATTTATAATTAACCCCAAAGCACTTTGAAATTTAAGTATCATTAGTAATATATCAAAATAGGAAAGTGGTCATTAAGCACTCATGTTAATTGCTATCTAGCCATTGAACCAAGCTAATATGAGATGCAGCAATGAGCAACTCATATAATGATCACAGGAAATTGAGATTTAACTAAGCTTAATTTTTAATATGCTACTTCAAGCAGATATTGAATTTAATAAATAGCAGCATAGTGCATTCTCTGTGAACTACACTGACAACAAATTAAAATGAGGAAAAAATGCAAGGCAATTGGGTATGTCTTATGGAGAATAATTTACTTTCAATTCAGGAAACATCTACTGAACATTTTCTTTGTGCCAGACATTGGTGCGTGGAACCTTTGTTACAGAGAGAGAAAAGATCCAGAGCTTACAATTAGGAAGGACAGAGAGAAGTAAGCCAATTTTTGTAAGACAGTGTGTTAAGTGCTGTGAAAGCAGTACACTGAGCACTATGAAAACTTTGAGAACAGACATTTAATTTAGCCTCAGATGCAGGGGAAGGTTGATTTTAGATGACTTTTCAAAGAAAGTAAAAATTACAAGTAATTTATATGAAAGTTAAAATTGTTACTCTTCTAAAGGCTTCTGTCGCTACAAGCTACATTGCACAACTCCAGGAGGCATCATTCACATTGCTAACCACGTAAATGTCACTGTACTCCAAGGGATGCTTTTCACCTTAACACCATGAGCATGGTATGCCTAGAGTTGTGCAACCTGGCAGCCCTGCTTGGCTGATTTCTCCAAGTGAACTTTACTATACTCACTTTATTTTACCCCAGACTAATGTAATTTAATCTTAAAGTCAGAGATTTGTTTGCCATAGGAAAATGCAGTTGCCTACCTCTATTTATCTCTCTGTCTCAATGATTCCCTTCCTCAAATTTCCCCATTCCATATCTTATCCAGTAAAGTGCAGTTATGACTGAGCTAAATGCTTCTTCTCTTAACCACATGCATAGAACTGAGAAAGTGCCCACCTTCCTCATTCTCAAATTTGAGACTTGAGAATGATCTTGTCTAAGAAAGTAAAGGGCTTTTAAATAGAAAATTTTAGAGATTTTGTGTATTTGTTTTAGCTAATGTGTCATTAAGAAATATAAGTCTCAACTGTTAGATAGCCCCTCACCTAAATAATAATAAAGTTCAATTCCATTATGAAATAAACAACTTGCAATTAAAAGAAGTGAAAATGTGTGTGTGTGTGTGTGTATTCCAAGAATTACTCAGTATATACTGAGAAAACGCTAACATGCATGCCTATAATTCACATTTGCTGCTGCCGTGGACCTCTGAGTGGATGTTTCGAAGTGCTTACACAAGAATTGTTCTTAAAGACTTGGGTGCCAGTGACCACCAAGGACTTCTTGCTCAGGTTGAGTTCTGTAAGAACAGATGACTGTATATGATAAATTTATTGCT